GTGGTGCATACAGCCAGGGCAGGCACCAGGCACAGCTCTGCCTGGGGAAAACCACAGGGGAGTCTGTCAGCTGCTAAAAAGGTCTGATTTCTGGTGTTTTAGGCATTTCCCTTCCGACATCTGCAGTTAAGTGTAGGGTTGGAAGAAGTTGCCCCCTGTTTTGCCAAAGAAACTCTTAGGGGAGTGGCTGGTTAGACAGATGTTAGCAGCTGTGCAGCAGGACCTGGTTCTCCACATCTTTGTCCCCAGGCAAGGGAGCAAACCAGCTGCTGCCCCTTGTCTGCATTCCACACCTGGCCCCTGCTCCTGTCACACTGCTCTGTGTAATGGCTCCACCTGACAAGCTGATGTGCAGTCATCTCTTCTGTGCTCCTGTAAATAGAATTTGGTTTAGTTTTTGGACTCTCTTAAATATGAACCATGAGGCTTCATAACAAAATATAACTTCACAATAATTTTGTGAGAGTCTGGTGCCTCTGGTGAAGCATTCAGATCTGTGTTTGGGCTGGTACCTGCGACAGGCAAACTACGCAGATGCTGCCTAGCAATTCCTCTGGAAGCGGGCCCAGGGGCCATGGATAAACCCTATCACCCACTCATCTCACCTGGGGCACCACTCCCTGCCTCGAGCCTCTGTGAGGGGTCAGGGTTTGATCACTCCTGGTGGGTTGTGCTGATGATGATCATCTGCACTGCCAGATGCAGGTAAAAACCAGACACAGAACTCAGCTCCAATTCCCTCAGGACACTCAGCTGGGAGGGGGAAATCTTTTGTAGTAAAGATGAACTAGTCCACCTGCTCATGTCCTGCTCCAGTGGGATGGCTGTGGCAGCACTTCCTCCCTCCCACACCTTGAAGGTAACCCAGTAGTGAATGCAGACACACACAAAGTTAGGAGACTCATATATTGCTTGGTGTGGTGGGTTGTTCCTGGCTGGACTTCAGGTCCCCACCAAGCTGCTGTATCACTCCTCAGGGAGAAAAAATATAATGAAAGGCTTGTGGGTTGAGACAAGGACAGGGAGAGATCACTCACCCTTTATGGGAAAAATTCACCCATCATGGGAGAAATGGACTTGACTCAGGGAAATTTATATGCTTTACTGCCAATTAAATCAGAGAAGGGTACTGCATAAATAAAATCAAATCTAAAAATGCCTTTCCCCTACCCATCTGTTCTTCCTGAGCTTAACTTCGCTCCTGGTTTTCTTTACCTCCTCCTTCCCACCAGCACAGAGGGACAGGGAATGTGGGCTGTGGTCAGTCCATCACACATCTGCACACCTTCCTCTTCACACTCTTTCCTTGCTCCAGTGTGGGGTCTTTCCCACTGGAGACAGTTCTCCATTACCTTCTCCAGTGTGGGTCCTTCCCACAAGCTGCAGTTCTTTATGAAGTGCTCCAGCATTGGTCCCCCACAGGATCACAGGTCCTTCCAGGACCCTGCTCCCATGTGGGCTTCCCTCAGAGCCACAACCTCCTCTGGGCATCCCTTTGCTGTGGTGTGGGGTCCACCAGGGCTGCAGGTGGATCTCTACTCCAGCACATGTTGTGGGGCTTTTCCACACCAAACAAATGGTACATGCTCTGTCCCACAGCTCACCAGGAGCCAGGAGGATGGTCCTCCACGTGTCACTTGGAAACAGAGTTTGAAGTCGTGCTCCTGAATTACCTTGGTTTGTCTTCTGTTAGGCTGAATTGCTTCTGCTTTGAGCCAGGATGTCTCTTCACCTTTGAAACTTTCTCGTAGTCTACGAAGTCTGTCTATTTTTATTAAAAATGTGACTGACTTTGGCAAGAATTGATCTTTGAAAAGAACAAAATGCAACCTGGAACTTAAACCATGGTCAAGAGCTCATGAATCTGTTATTTCTCTGTGATATGGAAGAATATCTGCCCACATGAAGTGTTCAGAAAGACCAGGAATCTTCCCAGGTATCTGCAGGGAGACTGAAGTGGGAGCATCCAGCAGCAAACACAGATATAAATCCTACAAAACCTTGGTGTAAAGATGTATTAGCTGTTCACTGACATTTTTACTGCTGTCCTAGCTTGCTTTCAGTTGGCATTTGTTTATGTTTTGATGCCAGTATTTCATGCCATGTCTTGTAAAGGAGTACTACGGAATTAATGTTTCTGAAACTGCCTGTTGCCAAAGTGGATGTTATTTCACATTCATCCATCAACTCACAGCAGCAAAATTTGTGTGGATATGATTCCCTTTTATCTGCCTGATGAATCTGCTTTGGAAGGTGATAGAGCTGGTCAAGCAAAGTGCCCTAGGAGTGTGCTTGGGAGGCTGAGTAAAGAGAGATCCCCCCCTACGTGCATTGGAAAGGGACAAAAAGCACCTCGGGTTGGTGGGGACTGTGCTGGCATCCTGGGGAGGCAGACAAGCTCCAGTGTTCGTGCAGCAGCTGATACATTCACACTGGGATTGCACCTTGGGTGTTTTCTGTGGCTCAAGTTCTTTGTCACATTTTGTTGCTGTTTCAGGGTGGCCCCTGGGATTCATATTTGGACAGGGACCACTCCTCTCTTCAAGATTGTTAATCCTCGACAGGCTGAAGCAGTGAGGCCACATCAATTTATGGCAAGACCTTGGGTGTCTCCTTTGTGTTTTCCACATGAAGATAAAGAGGAAGAGGTAGAAATGTGTTCAGCATACTTTCTGTCCACTGGGATTACTTGTGCAGAGAATGGTGTGAAGTTTGAGCTATGGAAAGCATTCACTGTTGTGCCCAAATTCCAGTGTCCCTCCTGTAGGCACTGGCAGTACTCCCATATGCTGTCCTGCTTTGGCAGGAGAAAATACAGAAGTGTTGGCTGGAGAAACTGTCTGTGGGGCCCTTTACATCTTCCAAACCGAGAAAAATCCCTGCCCTGAAAAACTCAATATCTTCATACTGAGCTAGCAGCACAGGGTCTGATGGGAAAAAATGTGAAGCACTCTGTGATGAAATGTCCTGGGAGACTGTTAAAGCTTGATATTTGTCTTTCAGATGGACATCTCTTGGGAAAAGAGACCTCTCTGGTTGTTTCTAAGCCTGAAACTCAGGATGGGGCTAATGAGCAGTTCACCAGGGTATGAACTTTGTGAAGGATTCAAGTAATGTTTTGTGGGGGTGGAAGGTCTCTGAAGGGTCCAGAGAAAGTTTAACCAGGACTGGTGGGGCGATTGCACTTTCATAGCAGAGGACAGCAGTAGGCTTAGCCAGGAGGAAGAAACATTTCAGAGGATAGAGAAAATATGTGTACTGGAGCCAGTAACACAGGAATGGGAGTTCTCAGCTAGCTGAGTGAGTTTTGGCAACATAATATCTATTGGTACTCAGCTGTTTTGTCTAGCTCTGCATTTTGTGTGCTGGCTAAATAGTGGCTGGTTTGGGAGCTCTTTCTAGAGCCCCTAAGAGCAAGCTGGGGGCTTGGGAAGAGCAGGGGGTGATTACAGTCAGATGTAGGCAGTGAGTGCACAGCTTGTGGGATATGGTGCCATTTCCAAAGCAGGAAATGCTCCGTAAAGGAAAGCATCAGAGTGGAGGAAGTGCTGGACCCCAGGCCAAGCAGGGAGGAGGGGACGGTGCTGGTGCTGTCAGGGGGTCACAGCAGAGCCAGCCGTGCTCTCAGGTGTCTTTGTGCCAAATTTTCTGACTCTGCCCAGCTGCTGCACAGATGTGTTTATGCACTGGGAGTGTGGAGAGAAAAAAGGGGGTGTTTGATGCTTCCAAAGCAGAGAACCAAACCAGAAATTTTGCTGACCAAGGAGTATTATCTAAGACAATAACAGTATGTGATAAATCCTGCATTCTGGTTTATGAAGTAGAGTGGTGTTGCTGCTCATTTCTGTCCTTCGCCATCAGCACTGGGACAATCCTTGTTTAGGCTCCTGTGAACATGGAGCTCTGTGCCATGTCAACACCAGACAGGAGTCCATGTGAAAATGGGGATCCTTGCATCTGGAAAAGGTAGGTTTCACTTTGGAAGCAGCAAGGAAGACCTTGCAGATTCTTTCATTCTGAAGTATGCAAGACTTGCAAGTGCTGACATGCTGATTTTACATGATCAGGGAATAAAATCCTGAGATTTCTCCCTTGCTCTTGGAATGGCAAACCTTTAAGCTGTTGTATGGTGAACATGGACCTGTAGGTCTGTACATCTTTGGTATAGTGTGCAGCTGTGGGCAAGGTAGGCCCCTGTGAAACCTCTGCAGAAGGAGAGGAAGCACTCACTAGGCACAGTCAGTCATGGTGATCTTTATTGTCATGTTAGAGAGGGTATCACTCTCTTTGCTGATACTGCCTTCAGGATACTGGGGAGAAATTAATGTTGGGATCATATGTGGGCCCCCAATTTAGGGGCTTCCCACACCCTTCATCTCCTGCTTCCTCATCCTTCCTAAGTAGGAGGCATTTTAGCTACCTTCCCAGTCACTTTTTATTGTTTGCACCTCCCAATTTTAAAGGAATTAAAATTCAGCATGTGCACCTGGAGCCTTGGCGTCCCCACGTCCTGCAGGGTGAAAAGCCTCTGTGCTATGGGAGGATCAGCTGTGTTCCTCAGTGTGGTTCAACATCTCCTGCCATGATCTCCTGTGTGTATGCCTGGTAAAAACAAGAGGGATTATGCTTGGACACTGAACTCTGATAGTGTTGATACTTGATTCAGTGCACAGTTTGTTTTCTGTTGTTTAACTGCCTGTGGCTAGGAATTAAGGGTGGTGTGTCAAAGACTCGGGAACAAGGTGGGTGTGGGGGTGTGGATGTGTCCCAAAGGGAAGCCTCTGAAGGCCCAGTCCCAAGGGCACCAAGCTGGGGGACGGATTTCCCTTGATCTCTGGGCTTCGAAGCAGATGTCTGAGGATGAGATCTGCAGATAGCTCAGCTGCATGCTCAACTCTCCTTGACTTCTCTACAGCAGAAGCAGATGCTGAACCTTTCTACTGAAGCAGGGCTGTGAACTGTTTTTCCTTGTGATGTAACAGTGGAAGGATACCTTCTTTGTTCAGTGGACATCAGCCAGATATCCCATCATCTGGGAAAGCACGCTGCACTCTTTGGGTTATTTATTAGCATGGTACTTAACAAACCTTGTGATTATGTGCCTCACTGGAAATAGGAAGTTAATCAAATCTAATCCCTGCAGCTGGCTAGGAATACATCAAAATGAAATGATCATTTTCATATTCATTATGCCAAACCCCAAGATGTTATGAGGTGGTTTGGTTTAAGAGTGGAACAAACCTGGCAAAGCCTTTATTTTCTTTCTGAATACTATTATATTCTTTTCCAGTACCTGTACAGAATAATTAGCAGTTGAAGTGACGATCAGCTAATATTTCTTTTCTGTTTCTTTGGAGCTTTTGTGTATTATTCTCTGTCCATTTCAGTCACGCTGGTATCATGAGGAAAGCGCAGAGAAGTGATGTCCTGCGTTCCTGAGCACAGCAGTAACTCTGTTCTGCAATGTGTCTTGGCAGTGTTCATACATCCCTCCCTGTGCAAGAGACGATCAGGAGAACTCTGAGAACGTCACGTACAAGCAGAAATACTGGAAAGAGAAAGTGGGTTCTCAACCATTTACATGCTATTTTAACCAGCACTTGAGGTGAGTAATCTCCATTTGGCTAGGCAGGAGTGCTTATGCATCTGCTTAACAGCTGTCCATTGGTTCTGCTTGAAAATATAGATAAATGCATGCATATGTATATACACACACAGAGACCCCCTCCAAGGCAATGTGGTTTAATCACACAGAGCTCACTGGTGCAGAAATTTGCAAGACAGCTCTGTTGATGAAAAGCTATATGGAAAGGAAAGGAATATTTTTACCACTTAAAGTAAAAACACAAAACTCGGAGAAAAGTTTTCTTTAAAACATGCCATTTTTATAGCAAAAAGCATCTTGGCTTTTAACACTCAGATGGCAGATTTCTGGTGTGGATATTAGCATTCCTTTCCTTCACAGAAAAGAAACCCTACTGTGTTCAATGAGAAAAGGGGAGATCAGTAAACACTACAAACTAACTCAGTAATTGTGTTCATAGAGCATTAATGGGTCAGATATGTGTAGTAAACAGCAACAGAACTTCCAGGTTTCATGCATGCTTGCAGAGTAGAAAGCTGTAACCTAAAGCATCTCCCCATCTGTTTCAGTTCTTACTTTTATTGCCAGTGTTGATGTGACTTCCATGTGTGTCAGGGTGACATGTGGTTTCCTTCCTTCACTAAACAGAAAGGGGAGGGAGTCCTTTTTTCTGTCTCTTTCTGATGGTGATAAGCCAGGAAATAAAAGGTAATGTGGCTGCAGGAGGTTAGTCCTATCCCACAAACACTTGGAAGTTAAATAAATGAGGGAATAGCTCATGACTTGCAGGTGCAATTCAGGGCTCAGTGTGGGAGTGTTGGCACCAGATATTTCAGTTCAGAAAGACAAACAGGAGGAAAATGGATGGCAGGTGGAGAAATGCCTGACTCTCTTGTGGGTGTCCTGCTGAGTACCCTGGGGGCTTCAGGTTTGTCTTAGGCTGGCTATAATAGTTGTCTCCTGGGAGAGACTGTAGACCCAGTCAGCATGCCCAGGATGCCCAGTTCATTGTCCCTGGTTAACTCTTTGCAGAGGGACACCACCAAGAATTTGTAGCTATTTTTTTTCCTTTAGAGGGAAAAGAAGCATTGCTTAAAGCATGCAGAGGTTAAAATTTAGGGTACTCTGTGTGATGACATCAGACCCGTCAGGGACCTTTTTGGGAGTCCTTTGGTCCACAAGATGCTAATGTTTGCAGATGGTAACCAGGAGTTGAGTCATGATTTTGGTTTTTCTGGGCAGGCAGGTACTCCTGAGAATTGGGACTTGCAGCACCCACTGCCCAAGTGAGCAGGAGATTCAGAAACATGGAATTGTCTGCAGGAGAAGTCATGGCTAGGATATATCTAAACTGGTGTGGAAAGTGAAAATTAACTTTTTTAGTCAGTGGAGAGATACAGGAGCCTTATATGTGACCCCAAAGTAAATACCTGATACAGGTCAGATGCCCAGAGATGTTTATTTCTCTCCTGCAAAGGAGTGCAGGGTGGTAGGTGTCCAGAGCTGTGTGAGCTGATTCTCACATTACATTTTGGTGAAGCAAAGACAAAGCTTTTCTGAGGCTGCATGCTGCCTAGTGTCTGACATTTATGTAAGTTGGCACTGAGGAATTGTGCAGCACTCAGGAAGGGTGTTTTTTTCCCTGAAGATGCTGAATCTTATACTGCTAAAAGTTCTTGCCAGCACAATGGCTGCCTTGAAACATTGCCTTTTGCTGATCATACCACAATTCATACACAGCATAAGAGAGGCTTGCTGCCAGAGATACCAGAAGACAGTCTAAGCCAAAATGTGTACACCATCTATTTTCTTCTGGAGATAGCAAAGAGCTTTGGGAGATAAGTTCTGCTGACTAGGAATGTGCTTGCTTGGGTATACTTTTAGAGCAATGATGACTAAGCAGCTTGCAAAGCAGTAAAAAGAAACCATAACAAACTGAGGGAGAAATCTGTTCCCTTCAAAACAGAAGTGTGCATATTTTCTGACAGTATTTTTTTCACTATATAGATAAGCTAACTGTTCTCTGTCAGTCTGTATAAAACATATAGTAAATAGTTCCTTAGAGAATGTGGTATTTGTAATATTAATACTCCCTCTTTTGAAACAGCAGAATAAAATTTAGGTAAGTATACAGGGAATGAATGAACATCATCTCCTCTTCATCAAATTTACTTCATGGTCAGAACTGTTGCTGCATGCAGAGTGTACTGTTGGGTAACATCTCCCTTTCAGTTTGGTGGTGTCAACAGGTTACTTTGAAAAGGTGTAAAAAAGGGGTGCCATTCTTACAGTTCAAAGTTATACAAAAGGGATGAGAAGCAGACTCGGCAATTTCAACCATTCTTAATTACTGTAAATGAAACTGCCCAGCAAAATTAGCTGTCTGACATTTGTTTTTGGGAGCCAAAGTGCAGCTTATCCTGGAGCTCAGTGCTTAGCTGAAGAGTGAGGTTTTGCTTTGCCACTGCAGGCACTCGGCTTTCCTGTCCCACTCTTCTCTGACAAGCTTTGGGACAAGGTGTTCAAGCTGCATGGGGAAGTTTGCTTTTCTGGATCTCTGGTGAAGGTGTCTGTCTGTTGACATGGTGATACCCCAGTGTGAAAGAAACCCAGCACAGCAAAAAACAGCCTTCAGTGTTTCTGACTCTAAAGGACAAACTCAGACAAAGTTCTCAGGCTGTTGCCAAAGGTTTGAGAAGGCTCTGAGCTCCAGGGTTTTGGTGCTCTGGATCTCCCACCAAGTGACCCAGGGGTCTGCCATCATGACCTCATGCAAACAAGGGCCACAGCTGCATGCCCTGAAGTGCCAGGCCTGTGGGAACAGGCAGGATGGGGGAGATCCTGTTGGTTTATTTTTTCATGTTCTCATTGACATCCATGGCAAGAACAAAAAGAGAGAAACTAAGATTGCCATGAGCTCAGACCTCATTGTCTCACACCATGCAGAGACAGGCAGAGCAAGCTGTGTCAAGTAATTTCTCCTTAGTGTCTGATTTATGTGGTGTTACTGCTTATTAACTCTGGGTTTGTGCCACATGCAAGAACACTCTGTGTTTCCTTTGCTGTGGCACAGCAGGTGAGCCTGCCATACTTCAGCCTCCTCTGTGCTTGCTGCAGGATGCCGTACACAAATTCATCAGGGTTTTGGAAAGCAAACCCTGTCAAGTGATTAGTGACAACCTGTATGTTTTTTGGGTGCCCTGCAGGGTCCCCACTTATCTCAGAATAATTAAGTGTGTAAGCCAAGGGTGCCCAGGTAGTAGGGCTGTTCATCTGTAAAATGTTGGAACATAAATCCTGGTTTACTCTGTTACTTCTAAATTAATTCCCTCCACCTGTGGAGCAGTGCTTGGGCCTGAGGAGGAGAGGACTTTACTGTCAATAAGACACTGTGCTGCCTCTGCATGCAGCCATCCAGCTGAGGATCTCTGCATCTTGCAACATTAAGGGAAAAAATGACTGCTTGTCAGAGCAAAGGGATGTGAATATCCCTGGGGAAAATATCAGTGTATTGCAAACATCTTTAAATACAGATAGTTTGAATACAAAAATATTTGTTAGGTTTCCCTATCCTGTGCCTGAACCTCTGTCAGTTATTGTTGTGTGGCAGAAGGTTCACAGTGTGGTTCATTAGTGATGACTGAAATGTTTATGTGCTTGTAACTTTTTGATCCTATATGACCTTTTGAAAATCCCTGCACTGCAGTTCTCCCCATGGTGTTCAGTAATTGCTCTGAAGGCTCTGATGGAGGCCTGTGTTACCTGGTGTCTGCTTGAGCTACCTGGCAGAACCTAACAGGGGTGTGCTGTATTACACAACAACTAATCCAGTTAGCCCTGCTCAAAGCTCCACAAGGGTCTAGCCCCGAGCTCAAAGTCCTGCTAAAAATAAGTCCTGGTTTCACCTTTTAGGAATGAAAACAAAATTCCTTCTTCCTGGTCTGTACAGTGAAAGGGAAAGCTGTGTTTTCAGGGTTAAGGTAAAGGCTTCTCCAGGTTTTTTTTTTTCAGTTTGTTTGTTGTTTCACCCTGGGACTGCTGCTGGGCAGTGGTGATGCAGCACAGTGGCCATCACTGTTTGCAGCAAGAACCAGGTCTGAACGCCTGAGCATGGCTTGCAATCATTGGGGGTTTCCCCCCTTTTGTCCCACTAGGTCTCTCTCTTCTCTCTGTTGCTGTTTTATGCACAGATAACCGGAGTTAGGATTTTGGGTGCATCCCCTCAAGAGGCTTTGTATTTACTAAAAACCTGAATGGCAGCATTGCTAGAAAGAAGACTGCCAATAATCAAGCTTAGGGGGAATATGCACAACCCCTCTGCCAACATCTTTGAACTGAAGTACTATATAAAGTCACAGAGCATCTATAAATTTTTTAAAGACACTACTTACAGGAGCAAGGCAACCAATTTTATTATATCTGCTGATTTTCACAGGGAAAAGAAACATGTTTCTAGGCATGATGTACCTCCTTTGGGTTCAAGGTCACTGCCTCAGCACCAGGGGACTGATGCTCTTAGGCCTTCCAGCAAAGACAGGCCTTTGCCATGAGAAGTCTCCCCCTGGGGACAGAGCACCTTTTCTTTTCCATTTCCAAGTAAAACAACATGCCTTCAGACTGTGGGAGCAGGCAGGTCTCCTTTAAAAAAGTAGCATGAAAAGTCAAAACTTCTAGCTTTGCCAAGCAAACTGAGAGTAGTTACATTACTGTGTTTCAAGTGCCAGAATCACAGAACGCTGAATTGGAAGGCACCCACAGGGATCACTGAATCCAGCTAATGACCCTGCACAGCACCATCCCCAGGAGTCACACTGTGTGCCCAAGAGCACTGTCCAATTGCTTCTTCAACTCAGTCAGGTTTGGTGCTCTGACACTTCCCTGGAGACCCTGTTCCACACTCTGGGTGAAGAACCTTTTTCTGATATCCAACCTGAACCTCCCCTGACAACCTGAGGCCATTCCCTTGGGTTCTGTCACTGTCACCACAGAGAAGAGATCAGTGCCTGCCCCTCCTCTTCCCCTTGAGAGGAGCTACAGTGAGGTCTCTCCTCAATCTTCTCCACACTGAACAAAGTGTCCTCAGCCACTCCTCACAAGGCTTCCCCTCAAGGCCCTTCACCATCCTCATGTCTCTTCTTTGGACTCTCTCCAACACCTTAACATCTTTCTTATATTGTGGCACCCAAAACTGCCCACAGCAATCAAGGTGAGGCCACACCAGTGTGCAGGGACTCTTGCTGTACCTAAAAATAGCAGTAATACCCATCTAAAGTGAAACCTCAGCTCAAGACTTACTTAAACGCTTTGTCTTTGATTCTTTTCCACAGCGGAAACTTTTTTAAATTACTAAGTCACAATCACATCTATAATGGGTGCTTGACATCCATCACTGCTACCTTTGGTACCTATGGTTTTCAAAACATTTAAGATTCAGTCAAAAGGATGTCTTCCTTTCCCCAGTCACACTTTCTTTCCTTTAATTGAATCCAATTCTCTAGGTTGTTGCTTGTCCCTTATTTTTGAACTAACATCTGCTTTTAAAAAAATACTTAAAATTCAATGTCACTAATAAGTTCAGAGCTGTGAAGACTGAGTGTTGCCTATTTATGGCCTCCTTGCCAATTAGCACTGTTGCATTCACATGTGATGACACAGTAACTGTGAGGGAGCAGGCTCAGACCTCCTGTGAAGGGATTTCTCTGTTCAGGTGCACAGGTTAGTGAGTTTGCACCCATAAAATTAATACTGCTTTGTTCAATTTATAGTCTGCACTATGTGCCTGCTTATATATCTGGAGGATTTTGGTTGTGCAGAATTCATGCATTCGACTGCTGAATACACCTGAGATTCTTTTGATATCTTTTTATGCTGCTGAATTTCAAATTTTATATAGCAGAGCTGCTCACAATCAGAGTTTTACTCTGCTCCTAACTACAGAAACAAAGATAGATGCATGGTGCCGGCCTTGGGGACTTTCAGGCTGGCACAGTGCAGAGGATTCTCCACACAGAAATTTTGGGTGAGAGATCCCCAAATGCAAATGCAGGTGTAATTAAATCTGGCATCAGACATAGCTTTGGCAGTCTGGCTCCAGTAGCTCTTTAAGGATGGATAAAACTGTATATTTGCAAGCATCTCCATTCAATGTCTCACTGAAGGAAAACTGAGTTCTTTCCTTATCCCTGACAGAGAATTATTTCTTAGCACTACTTTCTGGTCAGGACAAAGCTATTGTGAGAGAGACAGCACAGTCATTGAACAGGTATCTGCTCCCATGTGCCACTGTGCTAGGAGACCTTGATTCCCTGGACATTTTGGGTGAGCCTGGGTTGCCAGGATTTCAGGCTGTGAGGTTTGTTGCTCCAAGAAGTGAGAGTCAGGTGGTGCTGGCCAAGCAACATGTGATGGGAGTGATAAATATAAGTGAGGACCAACATGAGTCAAGACTATAGATATTTTTATAGTTGGAGAAAGTCTGTTTCTCTCCTTTACAGATAGTTTTCCAGCAGACTGCATGTCTCTGGCTGTAGATGGGAAAGCAAGAGCAAAATGCAAATGCTGCAAGATTAATTTAATAACTATTAAACTGCAAGGGAGAGCAGAAAGAGCCAGAGCTGAGGAAAACCTGCCATTACATTTCCCAAACAACACCCCAGACTTGGAAGAGGCAGATGGACAGCACACCTTTCAGACACGTGGCACAGATAAATTTCCAAATGTCTTGAGATGTGCCCACCTGCAATTCTCCTGCTCCCTCTGTTTCCCTTTGGAAATGCATAAACCTGTCACAGACCCCACCAGGACTGTGTATTAGATGCTGCTGGTGGAGGCAAGGAGGTTCAGACCTTCGTGGGAGTCTTGCCAAGTTGTCCCTGTAGGAGCTGCAGAGTCTCCTGAGGCACTGCTGTCTGCAGCCCCAAATCACAGCTCATTGCCAAAACAGCCACCGCTGGGAAGGAGCTGAGTGGGGAGCCTTGGACACCCCGGGGCAGGCTGCAGTCCTTGTGGGGATAGATTTTGTGCAGGCTGCTGCCTGCAAGTGCAGCTGGGCTAGCCTGGGCCATCAGCTCCCTGCCCAGACCCAAACCACAGCCAGGGCTTGCTTCCTCAGGAGCCTTCATGTAGCCCATGGACACAGCAGTGCTCAAAGCTAAAAGCAAAGCTTTAATTACTGTTTAAATCCATTTCACAGGGCCGATAACATTTGAGGTAGAAATGCTGTATAAATGTATAAATGCTGCCTGGTACTGTGTGTTAGCCAGAGTGGCTTTGCAATCCATGGTCACTGTGACACTGTGTCTCTCATGGCTGTCTGAGATGACCACGTTCTCTGGAAGATGTAAAGCACCAACACTTCTTTTATTTTTATTTTTTTAATCCAGATGAACTTGTTAGCCTGTAAACACTGCAAATGGAAAGCTCTCACAATCTGCCATGAGTGCTGGTGGCAAAAGTCAAATGCAAGCAGTGAACGAAATGGTCCACTTAGCCTTTGGCAAATAAAGCACCTTTACTTATACCATGTTAGATGACTCCCACTTATGATGAATTGATGATATTATATTGATTTCTATTTTCTCCATCTTCTGTTCCTCCTCTTCACAGGCCGGATGATGTGATGCTGAAGCGCACCCATGATGAGACTGTTCTCTTGCACTGCTTCCTCTGGCCTGTGGTGACTTTCCTAGTTGGAGTCCTCATTGTGGTCCTGACCATCTGTGCCAAGAGCTTGGCTGTCAGGGCAGAGGCAATAAAAAAGAAGAAGCATTTGTGAGTGGCAAGGCTGCTCATGGAAAAGAGAAACCTGCAAGACGGTCTCAGGTGGGGCAACCTGACACCCCTGCAGGGGCACCCGGCTGCATCTCCTTCCAGGGCCTGATCTGTGGTGGAGTTGCTCTTGTCTCAGGATTGTTCTTGGGAGATTTCCCCATGAAATGCCAGCTAAATGCTTCTTCTGCTATGGCACTAAATAAGTATATTCTACCAAAAACAAAGAGAAAATCTACATGCATCAAATATGCTGTACACTGCACCAAATATCCTGTGTGCTGTTAGTGCTGAAGAGCAGCTATCCAGAAGTTGAGACAGTTTATAAAACTCCCTGATGATGTTACTTTCATCTCCACAAAGTGATCTTTGCTAATGTTTAATATTAAATATTTAAAATCCTTACTTTAGATAGAACTTATTTCCAAAATAATAAAATTTTATTGTTTTGGGAGTTTTAACTTTTGGGGTTTTTGTGGGTTTTTTTTTGGTTGTTGTTTTTGTGGTTTTTTTTTTCTTTTTTCTTTTTTTTTTTTTAAGCTGTAAGGCAAACGTAACATTGTGCTGATTTGGTTTTTTTTCTGCTGTGTAGAACTTAATTTTAAAATTCAAACTTTTCTTTCTGTTTAGACAAAATCTTTCATCTTTGCCCATTCACTGTGATGAAATGTAGAAATCTCTCAGAAATACTACTTCTAAAAAAAATATGAAACATTATTGGAAAAGATGATTAAATACTGGATCTAACTTTATTGCCTCAGTGGTATTCAGTCCCTACAGTTTTTCTTGCCCCCTCTCAGATGTCCTCTTCACGAATGCTCCAGCTGCAAGGATTTTACAGTTGATGGTTTTACATGAATATATTTTACCAGCATCTTGCCCAAATCGTGGAGTGCCTGAGTGCTTGCTGAGGAGAGCCTGTGTGTTCTTGCTGTGGCTCACACCACAAGAGAAGAACATCAGCTCCTTGTAGGGCTGTGGGTGTTTGCTGCTGAACTGCCTGTCCCAGTCACAGCAGCTCCACGAAGGCCCCTCCGCTGGGATGCTGCAGGAAACACACGGCAGAGTGGCCCCAGAGTCCTGCTGGGTCTGCTTTCTCTGCCTGCCCAGCTCCTTGCTGTGTGTGATGGGAGTACCAGCTCTAGTCCACTTGCTCAGCACAGAGAGTTCCATATTCCTGGCAGTCTCCCAGGGCACATTTTTGTGTGCCATAGTCAGGGGCTGGGGCCAGAGCAGTTTCATGGCACTTGTCATTGTCCCCACAGGGCTGGCCCCCCCTGGGACCAGCTGTGCAGCTTGGCAGCGCTGGCGTGCAGCAAAAAAGAAAAACCATGTGGCTCGGGCAGGAAAGTGAGTGATTACTGGCAAAGCACTTTAATCTACATTAACAATTCTGCAATTCTGAACATACTGTGCACTGTGCTAATCTCTGATATTCTTAGTATTATGTGTAAATACCTTGGGGTTTTTTGTGATTTTAACACATAGCAGAAAAATTTCCTGAGGATGAGAAAAGTGCTAGATTTGAAAGCCTGAAAGCATAGCTGGCACAAAAGCATGATAGCAAACCTGCTTGTATTGCCCAGTGTCCTTTTCAGATTAATTGTGTTGTGTGTTTTAGAACTGATTTCCATAAGAACTCTAGGACGTACTGGTGCCCAGTGATGAAGGTGATGCATGGCAAAGGCAGCAGAGTGACTGGAGGTCATTCACTGCTTCCCTGTGACTTTTGGAGTGTCCTCTGGTCCCAGTCCACACTGGCATAGCTGTTCCTTCAAGGCAAGTTAAGGAAATACGTTTTTAGGGGCAGAAACTTGATGCTTCTTGGCACATTACTCTGTATGAAAGACCCAGCTGGCATTGGTTGCATATGTTCAAGCACCTCCAACCCTGCAGGTGAAAAACACCTCTTGTAAGAGAAATTTCCAATTCTATGTGTTAAGCATCACCACTTTGAAGGTGCCTGCTGTCCAGCTCACACTGGTACCTTCTGTCTCAGCCTACTGAAAAGAGCAGTGCTGGATATACTGAGTGCAGAGAGGTTGTGAGCTCCCAGACTCAGAGGAAAGCCTGCAAACTTCTGAAAGAGCTGTCCTGCAAAGGACACTGTGTTTTGTTTCACTCATGTCTCACTGCTGTGGCCTGGTTTGCATATATTGCAACTCTCTTGCCTCAGCAACCCACAGAAACACTGCATTGTGTGTCTGATTTGGGGGCTTGGTTGCAATTTTTTAATTTATATTTTGCTTATTCCCACTCTGCAAATCACATAAAGCCGCTGGTGTGGGGTGGTTTGGTTATCTGAGTAAGGTGATGCCAAATTCTCTTCATTTATTTCTCTTTGGTAGCTTCTACAGTTAAGAGGAATAAGCCTGATTTTCTATATTCATCCATCCTTTGTTTTCCCAAAGGAGAAGGAAATACACAGTGACACAGATTCATCATGAAATTTTAAACCAGTAGCTTGGGGTTCACAAATCCAGATTAACAAAATCCTCTCTTGCTTTGCTCCAGAAGCTTTTGTGAGGGAATTGTACAGCTGGATCTCTGAGCAAAAGGCAAGAAGGAAATTGAGTAGATGCAGCTCACTTGATTGGCAATCATATATTTAAATCTGTTGGAAATGCCTTTTGCAAAGGCCTCTGGAAGAAAGTAATGGCTACCAAGGTAATGTTAAATTATTTTTCTGGGAGATTAGCAGGCCAAGCTAAGTATCTAAACTGATGTCCAAAGACCAGCATATGCCTGGCATGGCAGTAAGTGATGCTAAGGGGAAAATTAAAAATCCTAACATTCAGTCTTCTGTCTCATCCTGTCCCTCACTGATTTAGAAATGTCTTTGTATTCCCTGTACTTGATTGTGGAAGCTGGGGATTTCCCTCTAGCAGATTATTCACTGATTTCCTCCTTGGCTTTGCAGATTTCCAGGTTCTGTGGTGTATTCTCTGAAACATATTTGCAGCCAGAGCGGCTGCTTTTCCCAAAGCCATCTGCAGAGTTGGCTTTTGCATTTTATTCAATATTTATATGTCATTGCTTTGAGGAATTTTGTTCTGGCATGCTGTCTGCTGCTCTGCTTTAGCAAGACCTGCCTTCTCTTTCATGTAGTGCAATTAAATCAATTTGTTTATACAGTATCTTTCTCTGTTAGTTCCTTATGCTCATTTTTAAAGTTGAATTCTTCTTTAAAGAAGCATTTTTTGTTGCCTTTTTCTTGCTTATGTCTTTCTGTGTTGCCAGTAAGAGACAAGATTTCAGAAAGTTGGAAAATTTATCTGTTGAATGAACAGCGTAATTCAAACTGAGCAGATGAGGGGTGTCATGGGAGAGTCCAGGGGCATTTTGGAAGATCATTGCCCACAATCTTTGCTATAAACACAGCCCTTTGACAGGGTCCAGCACAGACTGCTGGATTTGAAGGACTTTTTCCATCTCAGCTCCAGTGGGTGCTGCAGGATGCAGGTTGGCAGGTGCAGTGGGGAGGTAGAACAGGTCTCAGTTTCCAGACTTGCACTTCCAAGTGTGTTTTGAGGGATTTGTCCTAGGACAGAACAAAGACATCTGCGAGGTGTGAGAGTGCAGAGCTCTCCATGCTGCTGCTGCCCTGGCTCAGCCTGCTGTGCCCACCCCAGCCCTGGTGCTGCTGCCTGGGGTTTCCCTGTCTGCAGTTTGCTTCTGGGAGCTCTCCTCGCTGAGCCAGGTGTGTCACAGGAGCAGGTATGCCACACAGCTCAGCTCATTTCACACACAACGCAAAATCATCCATCAAGTGTGTGTTAGCCAGAGTCCAGCTGGGAAATGTGGAAGGGGAAACGCTGGTCAATGTTTAAATCCTTTTAATAGATAAAGTGGTAGGGCTTCAGTATTCTTGAGGAAGTGTCAATGCAATTTGCTAAGGCTTATTTGAGAAAGGAAAACTATTTAAAATTGGCAGTGGGGCTGGGGTGACAGTGGGACGATGTGGATTGCCTGTGAACAGAAGGGAAGTGCTGTGCAAGCATCTTTGCTCAGCACTGCAAACATGGGAGCTGCCAGCCAAATCAGGGTTTCTGCAAACTTTAGCCTAAATGGCCAAAGTATAAAGAGAAAACACATGGAAGAGGAGACACCTAGAACAGTGTTTAATAAGAAAAGAGAAACACTCATGCCATGGCTTGTATTTCAATAATCAGATGAGAGGAGGCATAGATGAATTTCTAATTATGACATCTATTATATCATGCAAATGTGGTCTTTCAATCCCTGACAGAAATCCCATAGCCAGAGTTATCAAAAAATCAGCTTATTCCTGTGTGTGGTTTTCTCTGAGAATCAAAGCCTGTTTGATTTGGGATTTTTTTCCCCTCAGTGTGGAACAGCTGCTGTTGCTCCATTAATTGTCACTCAGAAACCAACTGCTTCCCTTTCTGGCATCTTAAGAGGCTGCTATGCTGATCTGTCAAGCTAACAATCTTTGCTGCAGAAAGCATGAGCAGGAAAACCTCTGAGGGAATATGTGTGCAATTAATCATACTGCCTTGTCAGGTCACAGACCCGCTGAATGAATCAGCCCCAAAGTTTGACATGTGAGAGGCTGCGCAATTCTCGTTCCGGTTTGATACGCGAGCCCGAACGCTGCCATTGCTTGCACGGTGTTTAATTCACAGCTCTTTGGTTTGAAGTCTGGTAAGCCAAAAAAATCACTCTGTGTGCAGTGCATGCATGGCTGGAGATGTTATCAAAAGAAAAAAAGAATAGCTTATTACGCTATATAGCTGTAATTTGCCTGTAAAATTATATTATAAAATATGCTGGCATAGCTGTAAAATTGCATACACACCTACAGTACACAATCCCCAAATAGCAAATACAGCAATCAATCAAAAATAACTCTCCCAGAAATTCAGTACTACTTCTGACACTGCATTAAATTAAAAGAAGAAAAAAAGCGAACTCTGTAATTTAATTTAATGAGCTAATAGAGCGTCAGACTTTACTTTTAATAATATAACTTCTTCATAATGTTTCAGCTAGAATAAGTTCTATCCTTATTTTTATTTGCACGCCAATTGCCATTCACTAAAAGCAGTTGGAAAAAAACCCCAACCAGTAAGCTCTTTCACATAATTGCTTGTTCAGCAACTGAGGGTTTCTGGACAAAATACTTCAACTCTTTGGACCCCATACAGCAGAACCAATTCCTTTCCCCTATTGCAGCAGGCTGGTTTTTCTCATGGTACCCACAGGAGAGGGAGTGGGGCAGCCACCCAATCTCCATCCAACATCTGTGTCCATCCAGCAGCTTCTCCAGGATGTAATATCTGGCATTTTCCAGGGGCCTGGATTTCAGGAGCACTGCCAGGCTGTGGGGCTGTGGGGAGGGAAGCATGACCCAGGGGCATGACCCAGGGGCAGCAGGGAGAGAGCT